CAAGGCATGCGGGCCCCAGCGTAGCGTTTGATGTGGACACATGCCCGCGCAACTTTGATTAGGCCCCTGAATGATTCGCAGTGGTACATGGTCGGGTTGTGTGAGAAGATCTCAGATATGGACAGTTTAGACAGCTTGCTTGACGAGACGGTTGAGGTGATTGTGATTTTGACAGGCGATGTGGCTTTGCAAAACAAGATGAGCTTGGCAGTTTACACAGATGATCCTGCAGTTTCAGACCAACACAAGATGCAGGAATGGGTGGAGATGCAGCGCCGCAGGCAAAACAGCCGCATGAGTGCAGGAGGAGGAGACAGGTTTAGACAAACCAAAGGTTCGATGTGTATGACGAGGTTTTCCTCCTTCAGCAGGAGGCTACATCAGTTGCAGTGATGATGATTCGCTCAAAGCGCAGGCTGGTTGCGCTGTACTAGTGTGAAAGAGTAGAGGCGCGTGCTCAATAGCGATTTCGGCTTCATGGCTTTAAGCACGCTTGGTGTGAAGATATGACTCCTGTGCCGGAGCTCATTGCGTTTGTGTGAGCAGATGCATATTTGCAGTGGCCTCGATGAGGTGATATCAGCACGGTTAGGGCAAGTGCTATGAGCCGGCGCGGCTGGCATGTGGAGGTGAATCTGGTGTGCGAATTTTGCTTTGCGCTATGCGCCCCAAGAATGGCCGAAGTTGGCAGTCCCACCTTGGTGACAAGAGATGAAATCAGGAATGTTTTGAGGACTTGGTTCTTCAATGGCGTTGCTAGAAGTTCAGATGGTGATGCCAATGGGGCAGGGCCAGGAAAAGCTGACATAACTGAGACTGCCGCCCAGAGCAGATCGTAGCAACCTCTTCGGCGTCAAGGGGCCAGCAGATTGCGCGAACCGGCTCCGAGGCGGGTTTCGGGAATGCACGGGGCGGTTCCGAGGAGGGTTGCGGTTTGGAGGAGGGTTCTGGGGATGCATGGCATGGCCAGTCTCGAAGAGTGCGCGTAAATGTGCCCACGCTGTTGGGGATGTTACCGGATTTTTTCGTAGTAGTAGTCTAAGTAGAAGACGTGTTAGCGCCTTCAATAGTGGTATCGGTTTTGATCGTGTTATCGTAAGTGGCATGATCAGTAGTTTTGCATACAGTGATCAGTCGTGTTATTATCTTGAGGTTTTCTACTGTCACAAGTCTGTTGTCATGAGTAAGATTGCTTTTGGTTGTGAAGCCGCCATTGCTGTGTGATTGTCTGCTTATCTGTTTCTGTTGATCATCCCGACTCGTATTGCAAGGGTCCTTCTGGCCGTTGCTACCTGATCGTGGCTTAGAACCTAGCTTTGGCTCTTTGCGTCGGCTTTCAGCGGTTGAGTCTTCAGGGATTCGCAGATCTTGTGGTTTTCTGTGCAGGGGTCAAAGACACAGCCAACCGTGATCATTGTCAATGTTTGGGTTGGTAAGCTTCCAAACGGCGGAGCGCCCAAAACGAGGTGCCAACTTTTGGAAGTCGTCGCCGTGTCCGAGCTGCAAGACTTCAGATTTTGACTCGAACGCTCGAACCCGAGGTGACGCCTCCAGGATCAATGACACCTGTCGTCACACCGCGGGAGCCCGGCAGCCCAATACACTTTGGTCGGAATGGGGCGACGTGGCGCTGTGGCCATGTGCTTCTTCTGCAAGGTGTCTCTTTTTGTCATTGTTTTGAGGGACATTTCCAGCCTTCCCCCCATGCTGCGACAATGACTGGAGTGGAGCTGGCCCATTTTAATATTTTGATACTTGTGTGGGCATAAATTTTTGAGGGCTACAGAGGTCTGGGGCCCATGATCGTAATTGCTCCCTAAAAGTTCAAGTGCGCACCCCTTTTTCATACCTTCTTTGACTCCCGGGTTGCCAATCCGCTTCCAACAGGGCATCTACCTCTTTGCAGAAGAGGGCATCGGTATGAACAGCACGCCTTCGAGATCCTTTGAGGGGTATGTACAAGGGGATCCACGAGCGTTCTTCATGTCAGAGTCAAGCAGAAGTGGGTTAGTAAGGGCCAGCCCCCCTGCCACCATACGTGTGGAGTTTGATTCTTACCATGAGGTTTGGTCCCTCTAGCTTTAGGCTTTATCCTCCTTTGGGTGTATGGAACTCTTGACGAAGCAGGGCTGAGGGAAACGACCGCGTTTGTGATACAACAAGGGCTTCCCACAGACTTACCCCCCAGAAAAAGGGTGGGATTCCCAAAAGTATCACAGAAGTGGGGATAAAGCCCGAGTGATTAACCACAACAGTGGCGCGAATGGCTTCTTTGATTCCTCAAGTTCCCGCTCGCTCAGGTTCCTCAGCGCCCGCCGGGAGGTCAACGAGGTGTACCACAGCCACTCCCCAGAGGCTGATCATGAGGCCGGGAATTGGCTGAGGTGTCAAAGGGGGACCTTCCAAAATGGGCTTCGGCGTTCTTTTCGGCTTTGGGTTCCAAGGGCAGACCCAGCTTCTCCAAGAATCCTTGGTGGGTGTGCGGGGCACCGCGCACAAGGTGTGTACAATGGTTGCCCGATGGCTGAGTCCAAAAAACCGATGAAGCTCATGGGGGCTCGGGGGGAGGCAGGGGGAGGGAGCCCCAATAAGCCCAAAAGAAGGCCTTATTAGGGGCTTGATAAGGGCTTATTTGGGCTCCCCCCTCCCCTCCCTCGCCCCCAGCCCTGAGAGATTTCTCCGTGCCAGGGCCCATGACGACGGCGAGTTGACTGGAGCGCAGAGTTTCTATCTGAGGTCTCCGTCAAAGGATCGCCAGTTTGGGGTCTTCCAATCTTTGCGTGAGTCTATAGGTCCCTGCTATGAGGGAACCGCCTCTGGCAAGAAAGCTTCGAATAGCTTTAGCAATGCTGGCCACATTAGTGCCATCCGCACAGATCCGCCTGAACATGGCGTGGATGGCCTCTGGTTGCGAACGGAGTTCACTTGAAAGGAATGCAAAGGAGGCTTGGAGCAGGGTTCGCCAAATGCCACTTTTTGGTTTCGGGTTTCGTTTCCTGTGGGGTTGATGCTTGAAGGGTAAACTGGGAAACAAGGGCAATCCGCAGATTTTTGTTTTGACTGCGTTCACATCGGTGAGCTTCGCGTTCGCAACGGGGCCTAGAGGTTTCAAACGTCATCTCTTGGCAAGCCACTCACATGGCAGCACGCACTGCACCTTTTTTTGGTCCTGCCGAAGTTTGAGCCGATGTTTTGAAGCGTCAGTTGAGCCACAATCAAAACCTGGGTAGATGAAGCTTAGTAAGGGCAGTCCCAGCCAGAAATAGTTGCGGCCGCCTTATCTCTTTACATGGTTCTGGGTAGACCATTTTAGTACCGGGTTTTGATCGTGCCTCAGTTTCCCTTTGAAATCCAGCAGGGTCATTCCAGGAAATTTTCAGGGGCTTTGTTTGCTCTGGGAGAAAGGCAAGCAGCCTGGAGATGATGTCCCTTCAGCGTTTCCGGAGATACTGAAGGGAATCCCGCATATCAAGCGCCGTCAGCAAGTCACTGCTTGAGCAACTGGGGCCATTGGACCAGCCGAGCTTATGCCTCCGCGGTTCTCATCCAAACTTTCATCCATCCTTGTTTTTCTGTTGGTAGACGTGCGGGATTCTCTTTGGCAGCAGTACTGCCCCCAGCGTCAAGTGCGGTGGAGGAACCTATTCGGAATTCGAGATGTTTGCCATGGCAGTCGCGGCCAACGCCTAGCGACCTGTGTAGCCACAGGTGCCTCGTAGGGTTAGACCGCCGCACAACGCTTCAATTGCAAGTCGAGAAGTGCGGGACACTTAGTTCGTGCCAGTTTCAGAGGCGAAAACGGCAGTGCAGCCTCCCTGCTTCGGGGAGGGAGGCTACATGAATGGTCACTGGGCTCCAGCCCGCTTCTTGTCTGCTTTTTAAAGGGCTCCCTTTCAACGCTTTTCAACTTGGTTGAAAGGGAAACCACGAGTTACACTAGTTTTGGGTCCCTTCCTTCCGGGCATGGAAAACACCAGGTTCCCGATAGGTGGCCAGGGTTTGCCTTGATTTTAGTGGTGGCCTCCTCCAAGCCGGCTAGGATGAGGCTGCGGCTCAGCACTGTGAGTGATCACGGGGAAGAGCCCGTAGGCAAGTGCTGCCGTTCGACCACTGTACACTCTCCACTCCACACTCTCCACACTCTGCGCTCCACCCCACGCTCGCTGTCGATGTTCTAGAGAGGAATGTTCTCAAGTCCGGTCAAGAGCGGTTTGCACGAGCCTTGATACACAATGGCAGCTGTCAGATTGCAGCTCTACTGCCCTTGTTGCTCGCATGCAAGGATTCTCGGTTCGGCCAATTTGACTCGCGACCTCGCGACCTTACCCATGGTCACAGTTCCTTTCCTGAAGCTTCATCAAGGATAGCTGCCTGCATGTCACATTGTCGGACAGAACACGCGAATAGCGCGCCCTGCCGAGTAAGAACGAGTTCGAAACAGTGATGGTTACTTCCATGGCGGTTCATGATGTCCAGTTTGTGTGAATTATAGCAATATGTGCGGACACCCATTTGCATGTGCACCGGTTCCCTGCTTTGTCCGCCGGGTTCGATCGGATGACTGGACTGGCGATTGGCAAGCTTGTGCAAGTCTGCAGACTTTGGCCATTGGAATGGGTGGATTGGTTGCCCATCTTTTCAGGATATGGTCAAAAATCGGTACCCATTTTGGGAACCCGGGTAAATGGACTGGACTAAAACCTGCAGTTGGTAGTCTAATTTTGAGCCGCAGCCATATGGGAGCACAGGACCACGTTTGGATGGTGTTGAAAGGGGAACCCAAAGAAGCTGTTTGGACACCCTCACATATATATATATATATATATGTATATATATATATATATATGTTGTGCTCTCGATGGTAGTCAGAGAAGCATATTTCGCGTGTTGTATGGCTCAAATCGGTCCGTGATGAAGAGGCAAACGCCTCCTGCCGGTTGGACTTTCGCCTTTTCCAACAAAACACATTTTTGCTCAATGTCCTGGCACGCCAAAGCTTGGCCCGTTGTCTTTTTCTTTTGCTTTTTTAACGATCGGAAGTGAGAGGTGGCTTTTCTGGTCGCCATGCCTCGCACCCCGCGGGCGCTCAGCGGGGCCCCGAGAGAGCGGGGTCCGAATGGTGGCTTCGGTTCCTGGGCTGGGGGATCCGTTCGGACGTCCAAGTGAGTCACAGAGGATAGGTACTGATGGACAGACGGATTGTGGATTAGTGAGACAGCTAAAACCTCTCGGCCGCTGGTTTCTTGCCGGACCACCCTGTCCAGCCCAAACCTGACCATCCCTTTGTTCAGTGCCTTCCGTGTGTCAGGGGGGCTTAGCAGACTTCACCGGAAGATTCCCGCGCACACTGCCGCAAGGTTTCCCTTTTTAACCTGCGTCGCAGGTTTGCCTAGTGATCTTGAAGGGTCATTCGAAGAATTACAGGGGCTGCGTCTGGGTTTCCATGTTGCGGGATGTGTCCGAAACCAGGGGGCCCCTAATGATTGGTTGGTCAACCTTTGGTCTTCCCTTCTGAAGTTTAAGAGAACGACCCCCATCTCTCCTTTTGGGATACGCCCAGTTGTGGAGTGCCAACAGTTGCAGGGGAAATTCAACAAGCGTTCGAGCGGGCTCACAGTTATTTGTGAGGCCGCACGCCCAGACGAGACCGAAACGAGCGGGAGGAGGACAACAGCGCAGCCGGCCAGACTTGTGACTTGCTTCACGGAAACAAAGCACGACATACAACACTTCAGAAACACCCAACCCAAAACACACACACACACAAAACACACACAAAACACATGAAAATTCGAAAACCAAGCAACACCAAACAACACACATGCACACAACACACGACATGCACAGACAACATGCACACAGAGAGAGAGACACAGCGCAAACCGTACGTTGCGCCAGGCGACTTCCCGGCCACTCCCCCAGCCCCTCGCGTCGCCAGCCGGCGGCTCGCAGAGGACGGGGTTTTGGGTTTCGGGTTTTGGGCGCTGGATGGCCAGGGAGGGTGGGAGAATCTGGAAGTTTGTTGGGAAGTTAGTTTTTGAGTTAGTTGTTGGAAGTTAGTTTTAGTTCTTTTTGAGTTGAGTTTTTTGTTGGGGAGTTAGGTGTTGGAATCCTTACTATGGAGAGTTAGGTTTTGGGAAGCCCTTGTTGTATCACAGAAGTGGTCGTTTCCCACGACCCTGATCTGGAACAACCAGTTGCTTTGCTCTGGTTTTTTCCAGGGAATCTGAGGAAAAGAAGTCATTCGTGGCAGGGTTGTGGTTGATTACTCGGGTTTTATCCAACCACAGTGATGTTTTTTTTTTTGGAATCTCCCCTTGTTGTGGAGGGTTAGGTTTTGGGAAGCCCCTGTTTCACAGAAGTGGTCGTTTCTCACAGCCCTGAAGAACCCGTTTTTTTTTCTCCTTCTTCCGGTTCCAGGGAACTTGAAGCCAACATGAGCTGATGCTTGAACGCAGGTCTCCCGTTGGAGTTGCCGCGCAACGTCCGAAAATGGGATGGTTTTTCTTTGATGCAACGCTGGGAATGGGACTCTGGTGTGTCCTGAATTGAGGGACTCTTTGAAGAGGGAGCTTGCAGTCAGTATGACTGGTGTTCAAGAGTCTTATTTTGCAGCTTGAAGAAATGGCCTTGCAGGGCTCATGGAAGCCTTTGGGACGACACGCACTACCACTGAGGAGGCAAGGGACCGTCCCTGACCTCCCTCGAGCAGTTTGAGTGTTCCAGAGCTTTAAGGGACCATCTCTTCCGGGCTTCCTTTGCTTCCCGGTGCTTTTGTACCCCCCCCCAGCAGGTGCATGTAAATTAAGGAGGTCCCACCGTCCCACCCAGACAAGTCTGGGCATTTCAAGGGGGGGTTCTACCTGGTTTCATGTGGATGAACTCCTTCATGGGTTTTGGCTGTCTGGTGGCTCCCCGGTTTTTCCACCGGCTTCAAGCTGGATCCAAGCCTCAGGATCGGCCTTCCGATTCCGAGCCGGCGCTGAAAGGCCTTGGTGGGCTGGGGTTGGACCAGTCATGGCCCCATAGGCTAGGGTTGCTTTGGGAACTTTCAGAGAACCGCAAGTTCTCCCCATCTTGAACTTATCAGAGCCATAAGCCCGGTACTCGTTCCGGAAACTGGGGAGAAGCTACTCCGATGGTCACGAATCGCTAAATGGCTAGTAACCCTGGTGGTAACCCCACTTACAATGGTTGTAAGTCCCCTGTAACCGGGGTTGGCCAGGGCAAAGCCAGACATTTAGCGATTCGTCTCAGACCATTTGAGGAAGGCACTCAGGGTCTTCCGCTTTTGAGGCGCCAAGGCAGTGGCGCCTCCTCGCGACACGGTCTCAGGCCGAAGCGGGGATTTGGGGACGGGGTATGGGGTTGTGGTGGCTTTGTGGTCCGTGGGTGTTGCCTGGGGTGTAGATGCACGCTACGTTGCTCAATTCCATGAACGGAGGTGCCGCATTCAAGATCAAACCTAGTAAGACTGTAATCAGCGGGTTTCCAGCTGTTCACCGGGTGAAAACTCGTAGGATTGCTCGAGATATGCCAGGCATTATTCTCTGACTAGTGGCAAAGGCATGCTCCTCAGGCAAAGCGACACTTCAAGCCCCGCAGCCTTAAGGTTCGGTGACTGGGTGGCTCTCAGCACACTTCTCAGCTCGGCCTTCGGCTGTCAGCAAAGGTTTTGCAGACCCGGAAATCATTGAAATGCGCGCCTAGTGATCGCAGGACACGTCTCGTGGTCTCGTATAGAGGGAGTTGGAAGTTACTTTGGTGCTCCGCTGTGCTAGCTTCTAACATGTTCCACAGACCCTCCTGCTGAGGGCTAGCGGCTTACCAAGCTTTGCTATGGTTCAAAGAAGGCCTCAATAGTTGGGTGCGTGTGGGGGGGGGGGGTACTTTGTAGTGGGGTTCCAGATTGTGCCACGTGGCTGAACCATGTATCCACCCAACGAACACGCACGCGTTGAGGCACTTTCAGCAGTTTGGCGGTGACCTGACGCGCAATCTTTGCCCTTTAGTACTTGGATGCCCACCCCAGTTATCAAATGGTAACCTTGGTCAGCAAGTCCGCAAGTGGTGACCCTTTCATTGACAAGCGACTATTGGGGGTGTTCATGCAAGTCGGTGAAGAGGGTGCCCTAGTTGACGCCCCAAGCAACCCACCCAATGCAACAGGGTCCCAGTGTTTTCCCTTGCTCACGGTTAGAATGTCACCCTCTGCAACTTGTGAGTTCCTCAGGTTGGAGAGAGCCCAACAAACATGCCATGGTCATAGCTGGCTATCGCTTCGCAGGGCGGCTGCGGTGCTCCGGACAGGCTCATGTGGGAATTTGGTGAGAGATTCTATTCGCTTCTTGCGTGCGGATATGGGTATGGGTCAAAATGAAACCACCAGGGGACCGCAGGTTTCGGTCCATGTTTCCATTTACCAGGATTCCATTTTGGGTACATATTTTTGACCCACAGCCATATGACTCATGTGAATATCAACCAGAAGAACACCTCCATGGGTGTTGGGCTTTCGGCACTGCCAATGGACCTGGGCGGTGAGAGGAGAGAGGTCTGGAGCCAGCCAAGTGAAGAGAACGCAAGCAAAGAGCAGCAGAGCCGCCAAAAAAACATGCCAGTTTGTGGGAGAGTGGGGGCCCTTTGAACATTTCAACCGGACCATTCCTGACACAATCCGGTCATTTTCACATTGAAGGTCCCGATGGAATTTCGAAGCTTTGAGTTTCTCCAGGTGGCTTCGCTGGACACCTGTGACTCAGAGGAGGCGCGTCACCGTATCATAGGTGTCCTTTTTGGTTGGTTTAGTTGAAAAATAGAGGGGTTTACCTGGTGGTTCAATCATCTATCAGGGCCATCTACTTACGAGAAAAAAAAGGTACACCTATGCACCGTGTGCTTTTTTGGTTGAGGTGCAATTCCGCACCTGGAATGTGGTGAATGCACGGGTTGCAAAACGGCGTAAGCAAGCAGACCTAGCCGGTTTGAAACGCCGTGGTTTCAAAGATGTTTGAATACAGTGTTGGCTGTGGCATCACCGCGAAGCTTTGATCCCCCACCGGCGGCTAGGTTGTTGACCCTGTTGAAGAACCTGCTCTTTCTTTTTCCAACCCTGCGGAGCAAGCAAGCGGATCCCCCCGAATTTTGCGTCGCCGCAGGAGCATTCCACCAGCGATGCCTTCCAGGCAGCTCCCCGAAACACGGCCGATGTTCGTTTTGGGCGCACGGAGGACTGAAGTGAAGCTGGTGCCATCTATTTCAACCGACGTAAAACGGAGCCCGCTGACAATCAGAAGAACCAACCAAATGTACAAAGCAAGAACTGAAACGGTGAAACGAAGCAGCCGAGCAGGACATATGACACGGTTCCAATGGCAGCAGGGGCCAGCAGATTTATGCTTCGGACATCGCAAACTACTGCTAGATTCCAGTGAAGCTAGTTTCGGCGCGAACGGAAGCCTTTGCCTGAACAATGGTTTTGGGTGCGGTTGCTTAAACATCAGCTCATTTAGGCTTCCCTTTGCACAACGCCTGCCTTGTACCAATTTCACATTCAGGCCTGCCGCCTCCTTTTGTTGACGCCTCTTTGTGTAAACATGGTTCACCTGCTGTTTAGACAACAACTCTTTTTGATGTCCCTTGGACGGGGTGCGAGTTGAGATTTCCTTCTCAACCTTCAACATTATAATGTATCAAGTTTTCTGTTGTGTTTTGTGATTGTTTCTCTTAAAAGGACCCCGAACCCCTTTCCTAGGTTTGGCGCTTGTTCAGTCGACCAGCTGCCTGTCCTGCCCTAAACGAAGCCTTACCCCACCTAAGCTGGGTCCATGGGTCAACGTTTGGTACCATTTTACATCTTTCTATTGACTAACGTTGACGCTAGAGTTCTAAGTCCCAGGTTTGGGCTTGAACCGCTAGCAAGATGAAGACAATTTAAACCATTTTCACAGATCTGTTTTAACTCTTCGGTTTCTCGCCACGCCAAATCCCCGTGTTCCCTTTCTGGTTTGGCGCCAAGCATTCCCCGGTTTCCCGGCGCGAGGTGCGCCTGGCGCAGCTGCGGAGCCTGGGCCTGCGCTGTGAGCGGCTCCTGGAGCCGGGGGCCAAAAGCGAAGGCCACGGTGAAGGTATCAGCTTTGCTCCCTTACTTGCACAGCTCCCTTGCTTGTGGTCTGAGCAAATTAAATGGTAGAAACACGAGCAAAAGCTGATGTTCCAGCTATACTTACTTGCACAGCTCCCTTGCTTGTGGTCTGAGCAAATTAAATGGTAGAAACACGAGCAAAAGCTGATGTTCCAGCTATACTTACTTGCAAAGCTCCCTTGCTTGTGGTCTGAGCAAATTAAATGGTAGAAACACGAGCAAAAGCTGATGTTCCAGCTATACTTACTTGCACAGCTCCCTTGCTTGTGGTCTGAGCAAATTAAATGGTAGAAACACGAGCAAAAGCTGATGTTCCAGCTATACTTACTTGCAAAGCTCCCTTGCTTGTGGTCTGAGCAAATTAAATGGTAGAAACACGAGCAAAAGCTGATGTTCCAGCTATACTTACTTGCACAGCTCCCTTGCTTGTGGTCTGAGCAAATTAAATGGTAGAAACACGAGCAAAAGCTGATGTTCCAGCTATACTTACTTGCACAGCTCCCTTACTTGTGGTCTGAGCAAATTAAATGGTAGAAACACGAGCAAAAGCTGATGTTCCAGCTATACTTACTTGCACAGCTCCCTTACTTGTGGTCTGAGCAAATGGTAGAAACGCTAGCAAAAGCTGATGTTCCAGCTATACTTACTTGCACAGCTCGCTTACTTGTGGTCTGAGCAAATGGTAGAAACACTAAGCTGATGTTCCAGCTTTACTTACTTGCACAGCTCCCTTACTTGTGGTCTGAGCAAATGGTACAAACACGAGCAAAACTGATGGTCCAGCTTTACTTGCTTGCACAGCTCCCTTACTTGTGGTCTGAGCAAATGGTAGAAACACTAGCAAAAGCTGATGTTCCAGCTTTGCTTACTTGCACAGCTCCCTTACTTATGGTCTGAGCAAATGGTAGAAGCACTAAGCTGATGTTCCAGCTTTACTTACTTACACAGCTCCCTTACTTGTGGTCTGAGCAAATGGTAGAAACACGAGCAAAAGCTGATGTTCCAGCTTTACTTCCTTGCACAGCTCCCTTACTTGTGGTCGGAGCAAATGGTGGAAACACGAGCAAAAGCTGATGTTCCAGCCTTACATACTTGCACAGCTCCCTTACTTGTGGTGTGAGCAAATGGTAGAAAGACCGGCAAAAGCTGATGTTCCAGCTTTACTTACTTGCACAGCTCCCTTGCTTGTGGTCTGAGCAAATTAAATGGTAGAAACACGAGCAAAAGCTGATGTTCCAGCTATACTTACTTGCACAGCTCCCTTACTTGTGGTCTGAGCAAATGGTAGAAACACTAGCAAAGGCTGATGTTCCAGCTTTACTTACTTGCACTGAGCAAATGGTACAAACACGAGCAAAAGCTGATGTTCCAGCTTTACTTACTTGCACAGCTCCCTTACTTGTGGTCTGAGCAAATGGTACGAACACGAGCAAAGGCTGATGTTCCAGCTTTACTTACTTGCACTGAGCAAATGGTACAAACACGAGCAAAAGCTGATGTTCCAGCTTTACTTACTTGCACAGCTCCCTTACTTGTGGTCTGAGCAAATGGTACGAACACGAGCAAAAGCTGATGGTCCAGCTTTACTTGCTTGCACAGCTCCCTTACTTGTGGTCTGAGCAAATTAAATGGTAGAAACACTAGCAAAAGCTGATGTTCCAGCTTTACTTACTTGTACAGCTCCCTTACTTATGGTCTGAGCAAATGGTAGAAGCACTAAGCTGATGTTCCAGCTTTACTTGCTTGCACAGCTCCCTTACTTGTGGTCTGAGCAAATGGTAGAAACACCAGCAAAAGCTGATGTTCCAGCTTTACTTCCTTGCACAGCTCCCTTACTTGTGGTCTGAGCAAATGGTGGAAACACGAGCAAAAGCTGATGTTCCAGCCTTACATACTTGCACAGCTCCCTTACTTGTGGTGTGAGCAAATGGTAGAAAGACCGGCAAAAGCTGATGTTCCAGCTTTACTTACTTGCACAGCTCCCTTACTTGTGGTCTGAGCAAATGGTAGAAAAACTAGCAAAGGCTGATGTTCCAGCTTTACTTACTTGCACAGCTCCCTTACTTGTGGTCTGAGCAAATGGTAGAAACACCAGCAAAAGCTGATGTTCCAGCTTTACTTACTTGCACAGCTCCCTTACTTGTGGTCTGAGCAAATGGTAGAAACACGAGCAAAGGCTGATGTTCCAGCTTTACTCTTACAGCTCCCTTACTTGGGGTCTGAGCAAATGGTAGAAACACTAGGAAAAGCTGATGTTCCAGCTTTACTTGCTTGCACGGCTCCCTTACTTGTGGTCTGAGCAAATGGTAGACACACTTGCAAAAGCTGATGTTGCAGCTTTATTTACTTGCACAGCTCCCTTACTTGTGGTCTGAGCAAATGGTAGAAACACTATCAAAGGCTGATGTTCCAGCTTTACTTACTTGCACAGCTCCCTTACTTGTGGTCTGAGCAAATGGTAGAAACGCTAGCAAACCAGCTTTACTTACTTGCACAGCTCCCATACTTGTGGTCTGAGCAAATGGTAGAAACACTAGCAAAAGCTGATGTTCCAGCTTTACTTACTTGCACAGCTCCCTTACTTGTGGTCTGAGCAAATGGTAGACACATTACTTACTTGCACAGCTTCCTTGCTTGTGGTCTGAGCAAATTAAATGATAGAAACACTAGCAAAAGCTGATGTTCCAGCTTTACTTACTTGCACAGCTCCCTTACTTGTGGTTTGAGCAAATTAAATGGTAGAAACACCAGCAAAAGCTGATGTTCCAGCTTTACTTACTTGCACAGCTCCCTTACTTGTGGTCTGCGCTAAAGCTGACAGAACACTTACTTGTGGTCTGAGCAAATGGTAGCAAAAGCTGATGTTCCAGCTTTACTTACTTGCACAGCTCCCTTACTTGTGGTCTGAGCAAATGGTAGAAACACCAGCAAAAGCTGATGTTCCAGCTTTACTTACTTGCACAGCTCCCTTACTTGTGGTCTGAGCAAATGGTAGAAACACTAGCAAAAGCTGATGTTCCAGCTTTACTTACTTGCACAGCTCCCTTACTTGTGGTCTGAGCAAATGGTAGACACATTACTTACTTGCACAGCTTCCTTGCTTGTGGTCTGAGCAAATGATAGAAACACTAGCAAAAGCTGATGTTCCAGCTTTACTTACTTGCACAGCTCCCTTACTTGTGGTCTGAGCAAATGGTAGCAGCAAAAGCTCCAGCTTGCAAAGCTGATGTTCCAGCTTTACTTACTTGCACAGCTCCCTTACTTGTGGTCTGAGCAAATGGTAGAAACACTAGCAAAAGCTGATGTTCCAGCTTTACTTACTTGCACAGCTCCCTTACTTGTGGTCTGAGCAAATGGTAGAAACACACCAAAGGCTGATGTTCCAGCTTTACTTACTTGCACAGCTCCCTTACTTGTGGTCTGAGCAAATGGTAGAAACACCAGCAAAAGCTGATGTTCCAGCTTTACTTACTTGCACAGCTCCCTTACTTGTGGTCTGAGCAAATGGTAGAAACACTAGCAAAAGCTGATGTTCCAGCTTTACTTACTTGCACAGCTCCCTTACTTGTGGTCTGAGCAAATGGTAGAAACACGAGCAAAAGCTGATGTTCCAGCTCCCTTACTTGTGGTCTTTTTCGCTATCTAGTGGTTGTTGAACTGAAGTTGGCATCTTCATCTTCATTGTCGTGGTTTGCTGAGTGTTTCGAGTGACTTTTCTCGACGAGGCTTGGGTACCCCTTCAGCCAGGAGGCGGGGACGCCGGCCGTGAGGCTTTTGCTTCTCGACCCACCCGTTCGTAAATCGAAGTATGGCACGCACGTCGGTTGCTCTTGGGAGAAAGCACAAATCGGGAAGAGGTTCCAGGTCATGCGCTGAAAGCAAGAGACCTCCCCTGGGAATTCTTCCTCTTTAGGTTCAACTGTTTGTTGGCCAAAAAGGGTGTCAAGAAGCATTCGCCGTCAGGAGGTCGGAGGGTGCAATGGCCAACGAAGCCTTCTTAGCGTTGGAGAATGCCCTTGGAGGGCACAATGATGACCGCCTTGTCCCCTTCACAAGACGGGCATGGCAACAGAAATTGCAAGTTCCCTTATCTGAAATTTGCAACCTCTGAGAACAAGCACAGCCAGTGCGCGTCATTCCACGTCGCAATCAGTACTTGAGTCGTCAAAACTTTCGTTGGGACCAGGACCCTGGGGGCCACAAAGGACATGGGCTTGCTTCAAAATGGGGGACCCCCCAAAAAGCAATTCGTTTTCCTTTACTCCTCGACGATGCCAAGAAAGCCTGCAACACAGGACGCACACACACACACACATTGACTGCGACAGGTCCTGCCCCTGGTGCTGAGCGCGAGTCAGAAAGCTGCCGAGGAGGCGCGTACTGGTCTCGCGGGACCACCGTAATGGTTGCGGATGCGAACATTGTTTTGTGATGCATCGCAATCAACATGATACAGCGGCTCATGCACACAGACATTTCAGGTTTTTATTGTTACTGTTCTTGCTATTATTATGGTTGTTAGTACTATTAGTACTACTATTACTATTGACATTGCCAATCTTATTATCATTGCTATTGATACTCGTTCTAATCATCACCATCTTTGCCGTCGTTGCCATCATTCATCATCGTCGTCATCATCATCATCATCAACACCATCACCATCACCATCACCATCACCATCACCATCACCATCATCATCGTCAGCATCAGCATCAGCATCAGCATCATAGTAGTCAGCATCGGCAGCATCATAATCATAATCATAATCACAATCACAATCACAATATCACTAATCATACTACTTCTCATAATCATCATCAACATCATCGTCATCATCGTCATCATCGTCATCATCGTTTTCATCGTCATCATCGTCATCATCATCATCATCATCATCATCATCATCATCATCATCCAGCACCATCAGCATCAGCATCGTCATTGTCATCGCCTTCGGAGTGAGCGCGGGGCCCCAAACAGGACACCATTTCGCCAGCCCTGCATACGACACTCATCAAAGGCCGCAGGCAATTGCAAGTTTTGAAAACACATCCCAGACATATTATGTAATATGTATCTATGTTTTATTGTACATATATATATATATTATGTATTCTAGCCCTTCCCCTCAAGAACGTTTTTTGCCTGTTTCCCACAACCTCCAACAAGTCTCAAAGCGGTGCAAATACCAGTGAATTCTGGGTGGATCTTTTTGGTTTTGTTGGGCCCTGGGGGGGGGGGTGCTAACATGTTGGCTCAAGATGTTGCTAGACTTTACTTGCCGCCCAAGCTTCCCTATCATTCTTGAGGGTTCTCCTTTAAGAAGAGCCGCCGCATTGGGCAAAAGATCTGCTAGAGCAGTTCAAGTATGTTCAGATGAGTGTGAGGAGACTCACTCTGCCTCGAAAGAGGTACGGGACGCAAGACGTGCTTTGGAAACGAGGTTGGCTCTGCAAGGGATTGCCCCAATTCTGTTTGCAACTGCAACTGCGGTTGCCCAATACATAGACTCAAGGGTACACCCAAAAGGAACTATGACATGACATAAGCCTCTGAGCTTTTGAGCACAAACTCGTGAATCGAAGCGGCCAAAATTCAGTTCAGGCTGCGCTTAAGACTGGTACCTCCTGTGCCTTACAGGCAAACACGTATGGTCGCTTTTCTGGTTGAAGTTAGAAGCGGCTCATTTAGTCATGTGGTTCAAAATGTATACATAAATAGTTTACATATGTTCATTACTAGCAACTTCACTGTAACCAACATGCACCGCACCAAAGGCTTCCGAGTCGCTGCCAAAGCTCGCAGCATCCAACGGAGATTGCGGCATGCAATGCCATGTTGATTGGCGACGACGTTGGGCAGAATTTAGAGGTGCATTTCTGGCTACATACCTGTCTATGTGTAGGTTGAACACTTGGGGTACACCCTGCCCCCGGCACATGACAACAGGGGTTGATATGCTGCGTCACAACTCTTATGAGCACATTTTCACCCCCCCACCTAGCTCTCTCACCCGTCAAACTTTTGACCTTCTATTCTTTCCAGCTATAGTCTACGTACAGTCAAGTTACAGCAGGTTTAGTTGCGAGCACGCCAGCCATCAGGTCGCAATTTCCCTGGGCTTAGTTGCATGTGCCACGTCCGCCCCAATTCACCGCAGACTGGGTCGGTGGTTGCCAAATGAAAGTTGGAACATCCGGTAGCCCTCCCCCATGGACAAATCGACAAAGCACATTGACTAGACCTCGCAAGCAAGACATGCCGCCGAATTGAAGATATCCTGGAGCGTTTCTGGTTGGTTGCAACTCGAAGACCTCATGTGCCCGCTTAGATGCAACTTTGCTGTGCTCGTTTAGCGGCGTTGAAGCCAACGCCCGTTGAACGCGAAGGTTTCGATGCGTCGACGATCTCGGAATCGAAGAGGCGCCTTCGAAGCGCCAGCGGCGCTGATCTGTCGGAGCCTCATCCGCGCGGCCGGAATCGCATGCGCTGCAAAGGGGGGTGTCGGTTTTTCGGGAACCCCAAAAGTGGTGGTTTTCCCCTACTGGGTTCATGATCATGAGCAAGACGACGATGATGATGATGCTGATGATTCTTTTTTGGTCACCTTGCTTGAGTTGGTTTAAAGGCAAAACAACTGGACACCACCATTTTTAGGGTTCCCCCGATTTGGACACAAGCCCAAACGATGTGCGTGTGTGTGTGTGTTTGTGTGTGCGCACCCATGTTTTCAAAGTATACATTTGTCGCTTTGTAAATGGGAGATGCGGAGGAGGGCTGCAGCACATTCCATGAAGTAACATGGTTGGCTTAAAGTTCGGCGAGACACTACATGTTTGACGTCTACTAAAATACTGGCGTAAAATCCTAGGCTTGGGTTGAACATTCTCCACGTCATGCGTTCAGGCTTTGATGACGCCGGCAGGCCTGAGCACAGCTAGCTACTCTGTCGGCTTTGCCATCAATGCTTTTTGGTTGCCAGGTGTCTTGTTGCTACGAGGTTGTTCTATTTTGTTGCCTTCATGCGTCTTTGTGTTTCTTTCCAGAAACAGACTGCAAAGTTATCAAATGGGGAATCCCCAGTCGTAAAGTAGTTGTGGCTGGGACTCCATGGGCGCTTTGATATCACAAGGGTGATTTACGACCGTGGTGGCTCCCAGCCATCCAGTTCCTTAGTTTTTAGCCTAGCTGGTTTAGTGGTAGTTTCCATTTAACCCACTAAAAGTTAGTCACTTTTAGCAGGGGATCTGAGCGCAGCCCAGACAACCATGATGGTGGTTGTGACAGTTTTGGTGCGCTGTCGAAGCGTGAGTCTTCAGGGTTAGAACGCAGACATGGAGCCCGGCTGTGAACCGGATCCAACGGCAACAGGCAACCCACCCCATCTTGTGGATTGATTTGCGGCAGTGCGCTTGGATTCCAACCAGTCGAACGAGCTCGGCCTGAAGAATCCCTGGAAGAGCTTCCGGTGTTCCCGCCTTAAGCTTGATCCAGACGGAGCCTTTTGGACCAACAGAGGAAGCATGCCTTCAGGTTACTCTCTGGAGATCCTGAGATCAGCTGTGTCCTGAGCCTCTGGGGAACCATCTTCCCATCGTGCCCAACAAAGCCGTCGCAGAAGGCTCTTGTTTGGCTGATGGGCTTGCGCGGCTTTTGGGGGAAGCCCGGCACGATTCGGCGAATGCGGCAATGTCCACAGGCCAATGCATCCTACGGCCAGAAAAACAACGGGTCAGATGTGGGTGCTGGTTCGCATGATTTGATGTTGGCAGTGTTTTGATTTTGGATTTCATGTATTTTGATGATCCAGAAACCCTGTGCATGCAATGCACACTATAAACTCTAATGGCCAATAGCATTTGGGCAGTGGTGATCATGACCCTTTTATCGAAGTATGTTGTGTTGGGTATCCTTTGCTTGATCCAGAAAATATCATCATTTCTTGGTGTATACTCAACTTTGAAAAGACTACCAATTCTGGGGAGATCAATTTTCGAATGCCCAATATGGGAAACACGGTAATCTGATCGTGGCATATGTAGTCTCGACCCCTTGCCAAGGCGAAACTCGAACCCAGAACGCCGACCCCTCCCTCTGGTTGGACCAACCCCGGACCGAACCCAAACACGACCCCCGCTTGACCCCGAATCCGAACCCGATCCTGAAACAGAACCCAAGCTCGAACTTTATCCATGCGTTCAATAGTTCCTGTTTGTGGATGGTCTTGGGCGCTGCACATCCCGTTCAAAGCGTCGTTTCGCTTGGGGTTTATTTGGCCATCGCTTGTCCAATGCCAACTGTTGACGAGTATGAGGTTCTATAAAGGGAGCCGCGTACGCGCATCACCATCTCCGCAGAAGCCGTGGGCTTGCAACGTGGCTTTTGCTCGCGGTCTTTAGTTGCATGAGCCCCGCGCCCTTGGGGCCAAGAAGGGCCAAGGGGGCCATTCCAGGGCTTTGGTGGTTGAGTGCTTTGAGGGCAAAGGGGAATTCGGAATTCAAGTGAAACTGGAGTGTTTCGGGGCAAAAGGATTCGGAAGTTTAGAAGCTGGTTTTCGTTTGGGTTCGGAAGCTTTTAGAGCCCAGGAGCCGGGATTGGCTGAGAATTCGGACAGCGCGGCGAGATCCTCTGTGGGGTTTGCGGGCTCGCTGCTCGGGGAGAGAAAAGGCAAAGGTCAGCTTGTGTCGAGGATGAGGCTAGCAGGCAAGGGTGACCCAACCACACCTGTCGGGGGGGGGGGGGAAGAATTTCGATGGCTGTCAAGTTGTCAAGGGTCCCAAAACGGCAATTTCCCCATCCCAATAGAGGCAATTTTAGTGGCCCCTAAAATCACCTGTGCCAACTTGGCTTTAGCCAATTTTGCCAACATTGTCCTTTTTCGCGTCGTTCGGACCTCAACAGGGGTGATTCCATTCTGTCAACTCACGCATGGTCTGTCGCACGCCCATCGGTGCCGACGGCTTGTTTCTTCAGCTTTAGTCGGCTGAGAAGGACACGGCACTGAACGCCCAGCCAAGCACCTCACTTTGTACGCCCTTCGAAGGGCAGAACAAAAACCGGCGCCTCCGTCGAGCCAGCAAAGACAATTTGTTTGTGCTTTGATTCCAAACGGTTTGATTCTTTGTGAGTACCGTCTAGTCTCCATGCACCTCTCAAACAAACAGAAACACAAGCAGTAGGGACTGGCTGAAACATCTCAACAACAGCCAAAAGACAACAGCAAAAAACAACAAGCCACAAAATCAGAACCAGTCCGCGTACGGACCGATAGACCGATGCGATGGGCTGCGTGGATGGGTGCAACGGCTGTCTGGGCGCGTTTTTTGGGCTCTGGCGGAAGCGGCCCCCGGCGATTTCCGGCGAAGGCTGCCCTGAGATTTTGGCCGCTTGGACCTCGCCTTTTGCAAAGCGTGGGAGGTGCCTTTTTTGGTGTACCCTGTTCGCATCTAAAGGGCATCCAGAAGGACAACCATCATTTTGACTTTTTTTTTTTTTTCTAGATGCTTGTTTTTTGCGGTTCCCTGCGGCCAAACAAAACCAGCTGCGCCGTGGCTGGCAAATCCACATTTTTGGTTCAAGTTGAGGTGTCCCTAGATCCCGTTTGTTCAATATTCTGTTTCAACTGTTGACCTTACCGCCATTTTCTCTTTTTGTTTGTTTGTTTGAGGTCTCCTTTCATCGCTTTGGCCCAATTTTGTTTGGTCGGCTTCCCACCCTTCATCGCCTTTGTTTGCCTCTTTCTTCCATTTTGTTGGGGGATGTCCTTCGCACTCCCCCGTGTTTCTACCTGATCTGGTCGAGTCTCGTCTTCGGCTCACCGGCTGTTGGATTTCAGAGGTGAACACGCCGGGGCACAAGGTGCATGATGCCTTCAGGCCCGGACGGGGTGACGTGCAGACGGGGAACCGGTCCCCACCCCGCAAGATGCTGATGCTGGTGGTGGTGATGCTGAGATGCTGGTGGTGGTGGTGGTGGTGGTGGTGGTGGTGGTGGTGATGATGATGCCAAGAGCAAGAATAAGCAACGTTCCTTCTGAGGAGCCTTTGTTTGTTCATCGTAGGAGGACCTGTTCCAGATTTCCGGTGCCAATCGTCCTGGTCATGTATAGGTGCGGGCAGAGGGTCCCCCAATACGGCTGGAGAAGAGGTCCGTGGGAGACGTCGCTAGTAGAATTGACCTATATATTCTCATGTGGTATTGGGCTCGCCGCGGTTTTGAAAAGTTGTTCTATTTTTGGGGGACCTTTATTATTGGGGGGAGGGGCTTATGTGGGACAGATGTTGGAGTGAACAGTCGCCAATAGGTGTCCAATTTGGCTTGAGTTTCCTGGTCCGAAGTGAGACAGACGTATGTCCGTCTTCGTGGACCTGCTTTGGAACAACGGAAACCACACAGCAGCGACACTTCTGCAGATCCACATGGGTTCCCCAAGGTGCCCGATGCCCCCTCAACCCGCAACCAAAGCAGCCGTCTGGGCAACCCGCAAGCTGTGCATCGAAGACTCGCAACCGGTCCTTTGCGTCTGTCTGCAAAAGTCGGAGACGTGAACCTTGCTGGTGCGCTTCGAGATCAGCCCTGAACACGGTACCCCCAAAGAACGCTCAGGTGGTCATTTGCACTTGTTTCACGTGTTCGGAGAGGGGCTCATCATCTCTAAAGTCAGGAGCGGCTCCATAGTCACTTTCTTGACACTAGGCTACCTTTTATTTGCTCAAAGGGATTTTGTATCGCTTCCAGTCGATCAAGGAAAGTTTTTGTCGCCTCGAAGCAAATGACTGCTGCCATGGTTTTGTATGCAAGCTGGCTCAACATCACGTGAGTGCGCAAGGATAAACATGCAGAATTCCAGCTTTGCTTCCCCTCTATTTCTTTCAGGGTTCCAACATGTGTTGGGACACTCGCAGAAGCACGGGTTCAAAAACGATTGATGAACAGAACCGGGACAATGAGGGAGCTGTTGTTCTTCTTTCTGGTTGGTCGAGATACTTCATCAGTGGAGTCGCTGTCACCTGCTTTCACGTGGTGAATCTCTACTCCCATCACCGGCTGGCAGGGCCCCCATATTCCTTTATAGCCACAGAAAGCAACCGCAGATTAATCAGACGCTCTGTTCAAGCAGGGCAGTCCATTCTCGGGCTTCCCCTCGGATCCTGCATATTTCTGCATTTAGAGAGCACACCGGCTCCTTCACCCACGATGATTGTCCCTTAGTCATCGCTTCCGAAGTCCGTGAATTGGTAACATAGGCATAGTAGTAAACACAGATATGTCATGCAAAAAATGCTGTGTACCACAATACCAGGTTGGGGCTGGTCCACCTCGGTCCTTGGTCAGGCGCTTTAACCGGATGGATTCGATGACCAGTGGGCCAGGGGTGGAGTTGGAGTGGTTTCAACATCACAACAATCGTTTCTTGTTGGAAACACGATCAAAGGTGACGCATGAATCACTGACACGATTTTTGTGCCTTCTTCGGAAAGGACATGTGGGGAATGTACGGAGATCCATTTTTTAAATACGATCCTTTGCCCAAAAAATGCGCAAAAAGGGATGACCCCCCCCCCAACCCTCCATCCAAGGGTCGTGCCAGCTGACAGGGTCAAGAAGAGGGCCCTGGGCAAGGGCGGCTTCAGCACTGTGAAGCGCCTGATCAACCGGAAGACCGGGCAGGTGTGCGTCATGAAGGACCCGTTGCGCGGCGCGTTGCCTTTGGGGGCTTGTGGTGGGTGGGATCCTATGGGGGCTTGTGGTTGGGGATAGCTCTGGCTCTATTTGCGGTTATCAAGAGTGAAGGAATTCCGCTTCTGGATTGTGCATTTGGGTAACCAAAAACTGGACTGCTGCACCAGAGAGAGAGAGGGACCGGGACACCAACGGTGGCTTGATTTGACAATGTATTTGACAAATGGCCATGTTCGGGCGTAATTTCGGGTAAGCCCAAAGCCTTTGAACATGAAATTTAACTTTAGAGCCTCCGGCTCACTGCGCCGACATTGTCCTCTCCCTTTACTCCTTCTTCATCTCTCCCTTGTCTCTCTTGTGTGTTCTGTTGTCCTCTCTCCCTCCCTCCGCTCCCGATCCTCCCCATCCCCCCAAGCCTCTCTCTCCTCAACCTCCCTCTCTCTGTCTCTCTATCTGGCTCTCTCTCTCTCTCTGTGTCTCTCTGTCTCTCTCTCTCTCTCTCTCTCTCTCTCTGTCTCTGTCTCTGTCTCTGTCTCTGTCTCTGTCTCTCTCCCTCTCTCTCTCTCTCTGTCTGTCTCTTTCTCTGTCTCTTTCTCTGACTCTGGCTCTGTCTCTGTCTCTCTCGCTTTCCCTCTTTCTCGCTCTCTGTGCTCTCTCTCTCTCTCTCTGTCTCTTTCTCTCTCTCTCTCTCTCTCTCTCCCTCTCTCTCTCTCTCACTCTCTCCCGCTTCCTCCCTGACTCTCTCTCTCTCTCTCTGCATTGCAGCGTCACGTCCCCCCTGAGTTGCCTCGATGTCCGGGCACTGCCCCTTCATGACCCTGAACTGTCATCTCACAACTGGCTTTTCCCTTGATTTCCCCTTCATGTCCTTTTCACGTTTCTCATGATGTCCCGGTCATGTCCCTTCCATTCCTTTCAACTCCCCCTTCATGTCCCTGACATTTTCTCGGTATATCCGCGTATGTCTCGTTCTTGCGTTGCGAGTCATTTCCCTACATCTCCCGTCGTGCCGATTGGTTTCCTTGTGCTTTGTTTCCCTTTCATTCCCCCTGCACTCCCCTTGTTTTCATTTCTGTCCCTTTCATGTCCCTTTCAGTTCCGCTTTGTTTCCCTTTCATTTCCCGTTGCTTTCCTGTCAGGTCGACTTCCTATTTCCTCCCCTCATTTCCTTGCACTTCCTTGCATTTCCCCTTTGCTCCCCAGTATTTCCCGCAAAAAACCACGGTTTTCCAGCGTTTTCGCAAGAGGACGTCCAAAAACACAGTTTTTCCAGATTTTCGGCAAAAGGAGGCAGGAAGCCCAAGCCAGCAAAAGAGCCGGCAGGGGGAATCGAGCCTGGGACCCCTGTTTTGCGACCCTCCCCGAAGACTACGTTTAGTGGAACGTCATCAAATTGTTCGGTACGTGGGGGACCCCCCCCCAAAAAAAAAAGAACTGCGTATCAGACGTCGGGCGGGGGGGGGGGTAAGGGGGGGGGGTTATCCTCTATCTTCTAGCAAGCATCCGACACGCCGAACAATGTCGGCGGATATTCGCAAGTACACCGACCAGCGCTTAATTTCCCGTGTTCACATACTAGCAAGCACGGAAACCTTGCACCATTCAAGATTGTAGGATTTTCTCAAAAACAAGGGGAGTGTCAAGATTTTTCAAGAAAGGGGTTCATCAACATAGCTTTTTTCAGTATTTTAGGAATTTCTCAAAATGGGCGTGGCTCAAAATTTAAGAGCTGGGGTTATGCAGTGTTTGGTCGTTGTTTCCATTTACCTAGGGCCCATTTTGGGGACAGCTTTTTGAGCCACAGCCAAATATTTTAGGAATGTCTCAAAAGATTTTAGGAATGTCTCATAAAATGGGTTGACCCCCCGTGTTTTGAGCTGTTCAAGGCAAGCAGATGGAAGAGAGCCCCGGATCCGATCGCTCGAGGAGGTGCGGAAGAGCGCGGTGTCCAACTTGAGACTGTTGCAGGAGGAGGCGTCGGACGGGGGGACCGGGGTGTGCCCAAGAAGAGCCGGTTTGGGCAGTTTGAGACCATGGTTGAAACCAGTTTTTGTGTTGGTATTGACAAGGGAATCATCATTCTAGGACTTCTTAGGTGGTGCGAAATGGATTTCGTCCACCCACACTATTGCAGTGCTATCGACCAGAGAGGGGCTGGAGATGTCTGGACTATCTGGCGGGACCTGCCGGTTTTCCAGGATGCCTTGAGCGGCAAGATGATTGATAAGAGGTAAGCAGAAAACGAACACTGGACAATCAGACTTGCGACTGAGATGCCATTCATTCTTGTTTGGAGCCAGAGAGGGGCGGAACCATGCTGCCTTGTCATATTTCAATTGCGGGTTGCGCAACCCTGGCAGCTTCAGGGCCGCATGGGCAGAAATTCTAAGCTTTTCAGGGTATGGAGCCAAGAAAGCGGTTGCCACGTCCGCAGGGCATCCCCATTGGCGTTGACTCACAGATGACGAATGAGTTGACCATTCTTTGAAAGGACACCTCCCTCTGAATCAATCACAAGGATCCCCTCAATGGACCCATCAAATCCCGACGCCCTTGGTCCGATGGAAATTTTAAGTTTTCCAATTAGAACCCAGGGCTGACCTGAATAATCGGAAGCAGAAAGGGAAACGTCCTCTTGGGTGAAAAGGTCAGCTCATCGACACCACCTGACCTGCTCGTTCCAGGTGAAGCTGCAAGCGTCCATGGACCATCCCCACATAGTGCGTCTCTTTGAAACCTTTGAAGACGAGAACTTCATCGACATCGTCACCTGCCACGCAAGGTTTTTGTCTGAAAGACTATGATGGTTATACGCCATTCCCCATTTTCTTTATTCCGTCAGGTCAAAACATCCACCCCATTGTCCATTGAGGAGGGACATTGAGACGCGCCTAAATTTACAGCCTCCGGCTCATTACGCCGACTTCTGAAATAGAAGGATTGTTCCGCCATGCTCCCTCCGGCTCATTCCATCCAGCTGATTTTCATGCATGCCCACATAGATCAACGCACGGGCGCCTACTGGGCCGATGTTTTTGGGCGTTGCTGTGGCTGCTGCGTTGCCTGTGCACGTCTTCAACAGCCTGGATTGCAGATGTTGTTTCAGAGCTTGCCTGTGTTTTCTTCAGCACGCTGGTTGTCAATCGCTGTTGTAGACGGCGCCCGGAGGGTGTCAACAGGGGGGAGAAATCTACAAGGCCGGTCTGTTTCTGACCCATGCCTGATCAGAGCTGCCGTGCCAAGACTCTGCCTACTTTCAGGAATATTCCGTCCTGATCCCCAATATAAGGACAATAACTTACACACAGCAATCTACTTTTCATCTGTGGCGTATTGCGCATGTGCCTGCATTCCCCGGGGAATGTGAGCCCCAGATCCCTTTTTCCACGTCATCCGCCAAGCAATCCCGGCTCTTGGTGAGGCCAGACGGCTCGCTCGCTTGGGCTGGCGGCAGTTCGCGCATGGGTATCAACCCATGGACTTTGCGCTGCTCCCTATGCTCCCTAAGAACTCCGCAAAGAATCGGATCCGTAGGCAAACAAAGTCCCAGGTTTCGAGCTCCGCGAAAGTTTTCAGCCGGGTTTTTCAGGTCTTTGAGTCTGCGCGTGTCAACTCGAACCTACAGGGTGTTTCTGGGTCTCATGAAGTATTGGCTATGTGTGAGGGACGGGGGAGCTACTGATGCAAACAAGTTCTGCTTGTTTTTTGGTTGCATTCTTTCCTTTGGCAAAGATCCCGCAGGGCTTGAGCAGGGATCTTTAGTTTGCCTCTGGATTTTTTCACTTTCATTCCTTAGCTTCTTTTCCCTAACTGCGGATGTATACAGCTTTTGCTTTGCAAGTTCCGCTTTTTCGTTGGACATGCCCCTACAAGTGATGGTTGGGGGTGCTGCTGATGCGACAAAGCTCTTTCTTGCTGATGCTTTTTGTTTTTTCTTTTGGAAAGCTCCCCGCAGGACTTGAGTAGGGGCCTTTGGTTTGCCTCCGCTTGTTCAAGTTTTCTTCCCTGGCTGAAACATGTGTCTTAAATGATGTATGGGGGGGGTGCTACTGATGTAGTCGAATTATATCCTGCTCATTTCTTGCTTTTGTTTGCTCTCTTTCACAGGGAGCCGGTGTTTTTTTTTGGCCTCGGGCCGAATCCCAGAAGTGACGGATGGGAAGCTCTGTCTGCTGATGCTTATTTTTGTTTGTTTGCATTATTTTTTGGAAAGTTTGTTCATTTTCTCTTCGCTATCTAGGGATGTGTGGAGTTTTCTTTGCAACTTCCAGTGTTGTTTTTGGAAAGGCCCTCCACAAGTGATTGATGGGGGGGCTACAGATGCAAGTAAGCCCTTTCCCGCTTTCTCTGACGCTCCTTGTTCCCGAAGGCGTAGCGAAGGGTTCCCGTTTGTAAGTACGGGGGCGGAGGTTGTGTTCGCGCCGCGCTGTTCTAGAGCGCGCAACCGTCCGCAACCGTCCGCAACCGTCCGCAACCGTCCGCAGCCGTTCGCAGCCGTTCGCGATGTGGCGATAAGGCCGTGCCGTTCGGGAAGGCTCAGAACGTGCGATTTAGATGCTTTGCAGAACGTGCTTTTAGGTGTTTTGCTTGCAATGCGTGTGCAAGCGCTTGCGCAAGAGTCATTTTGTTGGTCCTGCCCTGCAATCGGCTTGGTTTGGTGAGCTTAAAAGTTGGTCAAAATCGGTCGAAATCATTCTGGCGCCGCAATCCCGTGCTATTTTTGGAGACACTTTGTCAACGTGTCAAAGTTGGACTTCATGGCATGCGCAACGCTTAGAGCTTCTTTGATTTGTCGCAAGCTAACTTCTCGTGGCAGGTGCAGAGCTTCAGAGCTCTTTTCAAATTTCGTGGCAGGCGCAGCACTTTAGAGCTTTTTAGCAGATTGCGTGGCAGACGAAGCACTTTGGAGCCCGAGTACAGGTTTCGTGGCAGGTTAGCGGGCAGCTTTCGTGATAGGCACAGCACTTCGGAGGTGGCAGGCGCGCGGCTTCAAGCGTGCAGATTGGCATGCGCATTTCGTGGCGGGCGCATCAGTAAGACTTTGGGAGCTTGTGGGGATGTCTTTGGAAGGTGTTCTGCGGGGGACTTCTGTCAGGGACATCTTTAGGGTTGTCTTTGGGGTGATGTCTTTGGGGCGGCCTTTTGATTGTCTTGGCTGTTTTTTTTGGACGGTGTCTGAGAGGGATGTTCTTGGAGGATGTCTTTGAGAGCGTTTTGCGGTTGTCTTGGGCGAGGGGGCGGGGGCGTCTTGGGTGACGTGTTTGAGGATATCACTGGGGATGTCTTTGTTGGTTTGAGGATGCCTCGGCGTTCCGAGGTAGGATGGGCTTGCCTTTTGACAGGGTGTTTGGACCAATGACAGGAACACACTTCTGCGGGTTTGGAAGAGGTCTTTTGTACTCCACTTGCCCAAATTTGGGTCAGATCCAAAAGCTTCCAAACAACTGAGTAAGGGTTTTGCGAGGGGCCGCCGGTTTTTCCCAAGCTGGGGGTCAAAAGGTGGACCACGGGATGGGCGAACCGCTCGTTTTTCGCTTCTCGAAGTCGAAGCAGAGGTGATGGAGAGCTGCCATGGCGGCGACATCCTGAGCCTGATCGAAGCCAGAAGCCAATGGCCCCCCCCGTTTCTAGCATCTCCATCTACACAATGAAAGTTGACGGCAACATGTGTTCCAAACTTGGAATCCGCCACACGTCGGCGTCCATGTTGTGGTAGGAAAGGCATGACATGCATGGCGATGAAACCGAGGTTCCCAGGCATGAAACAGAAGTGTGGTTTGATGTCACGTCAATAGAGCAAAATTGTAAAACCGTTGGCAGATTGAACTATCGTTTGTTGGATAGGACCAATATTACCTGTACCTGTCTCTGGGCTGATGGCCCGGGAAAAATACAGTTGATTTGAACACCTCAACAAGTGAAGCAACACAGGTTTACCGGGATCTAAAGGTACCCATAGTGGGTATGTTGAGCATAGATTCCATTGGTTTCAGTTTGGCTCACATCATTCACCAGTGCCATCGATTTGCTAAAGGGACTTCTGTTGTCAGTCTTGAGTTTTCATCACCATCATCTTTCTGACCAGCCAATTGCGCTTTTTTTTTTTCAGGGGGCTTACTCACCTTACCCTCAACACATAGGCAAGTAGTGTAGGTGCTTTGGAGGGTGGTGTGGTGGGGGTGATTCAGATCAACCCCTGGGGCTTAGTATGGAGAACCCACAAGTTGTTTTAGGGCTTCAAGACAACCAGACAAGCTCCTTTGAGACAGTGGCAGTGCACATGTCATCATGTCCACTTTCTTGGAAGGAGGAGCATGTTCCGGGCCAAATCTCATTGGTTGGCAAGGGTGCCCTTTGCCCCTTGCCCTTTGCAAGTTGCCGGCCATGAGGGGCTTTTGGGGCAAGGACGCCCTCACTTGCCGGAGGGCCTTTGGGGGCCCAAGCCAAGGGATGGTGTTGTTTTCCGCCCTTTCGTGGCCTGAGTGAAGCCTAGGGGGAACGAAGGTAAACTCCCAGTCCTGTGGTTCCCTTAAAAAAAGCCCGCTTTCGCAGAAGGAGACGGGGTCGATACCCGAGGAGAAGTCGGGAGGATTGACGCCTACAGATGCTGCCCACCTCTTTAGACAGCTGATGCTGGCACTGAGCTACATGCACCACTGCCAGGCACTTCTTTGAGCTTTGCAGGTTGATCCAGGGCTCCTTAGACGCGTCATCTCGATTTCATGAGTTTGTTTTGGGAAGCGTCAACGCATGGTTATCTTCAATGCGATTCTTAAACAACAGTTATGTTATTTGTTGATGTTCGTATGTGTTATCCTTCTTGACCTCGTCTTCACCTTGTCTATTTCAGTCCGTTACCGTCCGATGTTCGCTCAGGCGTTTGTTTGGTTAATCAATGTTAAATGTTGTTGACCCTGTTTCACCTGGAGTTTTCAATCCTCTACATTGGTTCCCCTCTGGTTTTTTTTGCTCCCGTTTTTTTTCTCCTTCTACGCTCCAAAGCTGTCAGGTGGTTCACCGGGACATCAAACCGGAGAACCTTGTGCTCAAGGAGCCCACAGAGCAGACGGTTCTGTGCCGCGCCAACGTGAAGCTCATCGACGCCTGGAGCGGATTCGGCGGCTTCGGGGAGAGCGGGGGGAAGAAGCCATGATCCCGACCGGAAGCTGAGACCTTGCGGATAGGTTACCTGACCAAGAAAGACAAGCTCACTCGCCCAAAGGACATGAAACAAAAGAAATATGCCTTTGGGGATCTTGATTAAAAGTAGCAAGAGCTTAGATCGATTTGCTTCGCGCACACCAGCAAGGGACTATCAGATCAGCGGGAAGTCACTGCAGCCCCCTTCTTTAAACACACCGTTTTTGTGCATACAGAACCACCAGGCGCTGAATCGATTCAACCCATACGAGATGAAACATTCATGTAGCCCCAAGAGCCCGGGGGCCGTGACTCAATTCAAAGAACATGCCGCTCAAAAATGAGAGGTCCCGCTATGGCTCTCCGGTGAAAGTGCCAGTCCCAAAATTGGCCACGATGAGCCTCTGAAATGCTGCACTCACACTCTGGCGGTCACTTTTGGTTGTTTCACAGAGAATCTAATGAGATTCACTCGGGATGTATCTGTATCCTGTATCATCATACTGCCCAGCCCATTCCATTTCCGAGAATTCAATTTGAAGAAACGCAAGAAAAGAGCAATAGGGGAGAGAAGTTCCAACATTCCGGAAACCACGCTTCCAGCTAATTATAAGAATTAGGAAACATAGAAATTGAGAACCAAATACGTCTCAATATTTTCGGCAGAACAGATGACCAATTTGCTGCTCCAAACAAGAGAAATTGGTCCGCCCTAAACCCCCAGTTTTTTGCTATTTAATTAGTTGGACAATCAGCCATGTTTTGTTTGTTATGTTTGCTAATAAATTCGGAAAACACCCCTGATGTTAGTTTGAAACAAATGCCGGACAACAAGTACATTTTCTCTAATTGGAAACGCTTCGCCTTGGCTCCCAAATTGCCACTTGCGCATTGTCACATACAAGCGTGGGGCACTTAATCCCCGTAGAAAGTGTTCCAAACGGGTTCCGCTTGATTTAGGCGCCCTGATGTGGCCTCCATCTTCATGTGAAGTCTTGGACATGTTGGGTCTGGGGTTCGATCGGGGGGATTTGGGAAGTATCCATGACGTTTTGATCATTCTCGTGCTTCCTTTGGAAGGGGCCTGGGCCTCAGGCTCGAGGGTCCCGTTCTGCGACGGTGCGTGCGCGCCAATTCTATGAACAGACTCCCGATGTGCAGGACTCCATAGTTGGAAAACAAGCAAGGTCCAACCGACCAAACAACCCAACCCAGAGATTCTAAAGGGCTCATCTAACCCACAGTGTGGACGTGATCTGCGTTTGGCTTTGCGCGCTTGTGAAGCTGCTTGTCCGAGGATTTTGGCTTTGCCCGGAAGTTCGGGGATGGCCAGGGGCGTCTGAAGACGATCTGCGGCACCCCGCTATATGTGGCCCCGGAGGTTTTTACAGGCCATGGGGTCGATCCAGTTTGCCTTCGGAGTCGGAGTCGGATCGCAGGACGATCCGGGCAATCCCCCGTTGCGACGGCTTGATTGGGTTTTGGGCGCTGGTCAAATGGAAGCAAGTCAACTGTTGATCGCTTTAAATGGAGCATGCCCAAGATCTTGAAGATCCAACCATGTGGATGTAATTGAACAGAGCTCAAGAAAAATCACCACAGGCCCTCCGGGCGTGTGCCCCCAATGAAATAAAGATGTCGGATCATTGTTAGTAAAAGGCGTCCCCAGGTTTACATCTATATTTCTTGAAACGCTGCGTGGGTAGACTCCTTTCAGAAAGATTGCCGTGAAGGGCGCATCAGAACGTCAGACGTGCGCTCTGCAGGTTGTCACATGTTGTCTTTTTTTTTGACCCCAGACTCATGGCAAATGGCGAGCAGGGCATTTTTGGGTATCTGCAAACAATTACGTGTCCAACTAGCAACGGTCAGGCAATTTTCAATCTGGGAATTGCGGCCGCGCTTGATTTCCAATGTCAGGTCCCTTGCGAGAGTTTCAGCTGAAACGACCATTTCGGCATACCCACTTCGCTCCCAGTTAAGTTTCCCATACAGCTGAAGGAGAACGGCGGACCCCCAAATGGGGCTTTGGCTTCCGTTTGGGTTTCCATACCCGTGAGCAAGTGGGCTTGTTATTTTTGAGGGTACCCAGGTGGTGGTTGGTTCACAAGGATTGCAAAGCCGCTCTTTTGGGTTTAACCAATTTTGAGACAAACCCAACTATTTGGAGTGAGAGGTAGCTACACCGAGAAGTGCGACATTTGGAGCAGCGGTGTCACGCTCTTCCAGATGCTTTGCGGGCAGCCGCCTTTCAAGGCAGACAGCGTCCAGGTGCGAGCGAGAAAGCAAGAGGGAAGCAAAGAGAAGGCGTCCCTCTTTAAAATTGTTGATTGCTGGGGCAAAGGGAATGTTGTCCTGGAATCCCTTGAATGAAGTCCCATTTTCCTTGGGAAGGAGTAGACAAATGGAACATAGCGGGAATTGGGAAAAATTGCACAGGGCGGTCAAAGTTGACCAAATCCAAATATTATGGACATTTGGAATGGTTTTCTCTAGTTTTACTGTGCCCTTCCCATGACATAGAAGCAACCCTGTGACAGGGCTGTGTTTCAAGGAGAGCCTGCATACGCAATGGACCTTGACAGTTCTTGGCGATTGGAACCTTCCATTTGAAAATCCCAGAATTTGAATGCACTTTTGAGTCCGAGGAAGGCCACTGAGAGAAGAGGACTCCGAAAAGCGGGGCCCCGAAAAGTTGATGCCTCCTGGTTTCTGCAAAAACACCTTCCGAACGGACGGACGTCCTTCAATTTTCGGATTGCCCCATCCTTGGGCACCTCTTGTTTTCCTCCTCTCTCCCTCTCTTTCAGACCTCCGGCCGAAGCCGCAAGACAGCGCCGCCAAGGGAGTGCCAGACGCACATCAAAGGCCGTGCCTTTGACTCCGCGCTCAACCAGCGGATAAAGTTGGATGTGGCATATGCTGCGTATTCAGCAAATAAATCAACAACTGCAGCGTGAGAGCTCCTTGCTTCATGTGTTCTTGAATCTGGCATTGCAGGGCACCACGTGGTGCACAACGCCGCTGGATCTGTGGCAGAATCACAGTGCGGCCTCTCCTGCTGCCGCTTCTCCGTATGATCGACGCTGTCCTTGAGCCTGCGTCGCAGAACCTGTGTCCACGCACGGGGCATTGGCACTGATTGCACCACGAGGTGTCTGGCCAGTACGTTCGTCTCTGAGTGGGCAGTGCTGCTGCAGATCGCGCCACGTACCCACACGATGAGTTGGACGGAGCATTTCCAGTGTTTGCAGGGATACGCATTTGCTTTGGCAGCGCCACCGTAAGCATTGTTTTTCTTGCGGCGCCAGCTGCTGCCGCACGGTTCAGAGCTTGTCACCCACCACCCCATTTCTCGTTCGGGCAACCTGGTGTGGGCAAAAACCAATGACAAGAAGGCCTGCCCTTGCCTCAAGGAATTGGTGGACGGGTCTTCGCTGCATGTCTGCGATGTGTGTCGCCTGATCAGCCAATGTCCTTGTCCTTCCAGCTTTACAGTGACATCTTTCACGACAGAGCGCAGCCGAGCAGAGGGAAGCACGTTGACCCTGCCCGGCTTGCTGCAATTTTCAGTTGACCCTGCTCACGCCTGCAGTGCGCAAGAAGCTAAATGCACAGCGCCGCGGCGTGACAAAGCTCGCCTGCGCAGGGAAGCTTGTGAATGAGCCGCTTTGCTGCGCACCCCGCTTTGGCGTTCACCTTTGTCGAGCTCAGCTACTGATGAAAGGTTCCACAAGGGCACTTGCTGCCGCTGCTGCTGCCGCGCCAGGAGAAGCAATTGCCGCCACAGTTCCAGCAAGCTATATAACAATACATAGTAATATATATATATACACATATATTTATATGTATGAAACCATGTACATACATATATATATATATATACATACATATACATATATATATATATATATATATATATATATATATATATACCCCCCCCCCCCCCGGGTTTGGTTGCCTCTCCAGTGCATGATTTGCCCATCTAGGACTGGGAGGAACGATCTCTCAACTAGGACCAGGACCAAATGAGACTAGAACCCAGGATCCCTCAACTGGGACTAGGACCAAACTAGGACTACACGACCCACCTCAGATTCTTACACAAATTGAACTTCAAGTATAACTTCCTCTGCAATGTCCTGTATACTTTCTATTTATTGCAGTAAACTAGGGAGCAACCCAACACTAGAACCAAGAATCTCTCATCTAGGACCAAATTAGGACTAGACCATTTAATTCTACTTCTTATAGTATTTGGGTGCCAAGTACTACATTCTGGTGGAAAGATAGTCCTGTTTAATATGTGGTTTGAAACAGAATAACACATATTTTATATTCCAACTACAATGTAATTATGACTGGACATGTTCCTTATTTTAAGTTTTACTGTTCAGCTAGCACTTGCATAGAACTTGATCAATACATTAACTACAATTCATAAGGCGCTTCCTTTGTAATGTTCTTAATACGTTCTATTTGTTTCAGTAAACTAGGACCATACGAGGCCTAGAACCAAGGATCTCCCAACAAGGACTAGGACCAAACTATGACTGGGCCATCCAACTCTAGTTCTGAAAGTGATTGAATTTCAAGTACAATGTTCTATTGGACAGGACATCGTTTGTACCATTTAATTTGACATAGAACAATCAGTATTTAAGTTCGAATCCAAATCAAATTTTGGCTGGAGTATGTCCTTCTCAAGCTCCATTGAATTTCCATCAGAAATAAGGTCGAATTTGATAAAGCATACTAAGTGGAGTTCATAAGGAAAGAATCCAACGGTCCCAAACTTGTGTCGTTTCACTAGTCCTAACACTACCATAGTCAGAAAGCACCGTAAAACACAGTGTTGTGTAGCGTTTTTCAATTCACACCCCAACGAACGCTCTCTAAATGCTCAATTGAATTTGAACACGATTTAATTGGGACTCATTACGGAAATAGTTGGTCACAATTTTATTGGTATTCAAATCTGACATTTCGAGTTTAAATAGAGTTCCTTTCCCAATATATACTTGCAAATCAATTAGAGCTTTAACAGGATTTGATCAGGAAAGAACCCAAGCCTGTGTTCAAAATTCAAGAATCAATATTCTGTTTTGCAAACGCGAGCCCAGGCCCGAGTGAAGCCCGTTGAAACCGACTGAAATTTCAGTTGCGCCTGGGTTCAAGATTCCCTAGAAAACTTTGGCCTACAATCTTGAATGTGGGCCTAGATTGAAACAGATTGAATAATCAGGACTTGGATGCTTGCACAACACTGTGCCAAAGTACAGCCGCGCAAAGTGTAATGTTGAATTTGGGTCTCGATTTAAACCGATTTAAGCCAATTTAAGTTTAAATCGGGCATGGATTCAAGATTCAAGATTCAAGAATCCAGGCCAAACTTTTCCAGGGAATCTTGAATCTTGACTCTCTGGAAAAGTTTGGCCTGGATTCTTGAATCTTGAATCTTGAATCCATGCCCGATATAAGTTAAATCGGTTTAAATCAGTTTAAATCGAGGCCTGGATTCAAGATTCCCTGGAAAAGTTTGGTCTGGATTCTTGAATCTTGAATCTTGAATCCATGCCTGATTTAAATTTAATCGGTTTAAGTAGGTTTAAATCAAGCCTGAAGCTTCCAGACCGTCCTTGGAAATGCTTCTTTTTCATTGCTCTCCCCAAAGCCCAAAAATGGCTAGAAAGCACTGCAAATACCTGTGAATTCTTCAAAAAGGTATATTTCTTTTTTTTGGTATAGAAAATATGTGTGCCTCCGTCACCACCGCAGGTGGTCTGGGAAAAGCGTCCTCCAAGCTCTCGCCGGACTCAACTCCAACGCGCGCCTCTTAGTCCTCTGCTCGCGCACGCATGTTCCACCCAGTACATTTTTGTTGCACTTTTCCCGCGAAAAAAAAACACAAAAAAAAAACATGTTGGCGAAAAGTTTCTGCGCGAGAAGGAAAGCGGAAATGCTGTAGTCGACGATTTCCGCACCTCGGTTCTGCCCCTCCAGTCCGTTTGGCCCTGGTAGTCTTCTGCCT